AGGGATCAGGTGCACAGAATAAAGTCTAAAGTGAAAGGGCTGGAGCGCCCTTAAGGAGGGGGAACTATAATCGTCACAAACATACTGTATGATCAACCCATGTTTTATAATAATAATAATTGCTTACACTTATATAGCACTTTTCTCGACACTCATCACCTCATCTTTTCCTTATGAATAATAAAGATGACCCCAGTCTGTATCAAAACAGTGTAGATAGTTTGGTTGGATGGAGCGGCCAGAATGCCTTGAAATATTTTAAATCCTAGAAAAATGGAAGAGTCTTGAGGATGTGTTCTAAGATATTAGCACAGCCAGTTGAGCAGGGCTTTCAAACTGCTTACATTAAGAGTATGTTAAGACTAACTTTTACCATCTCTTCTCATCTCTCACATGTTCTGCATGAAGAATAGCAACTGATGCCTTCAAACACACAATTTTGAGACCTCCAATACATACATAAAATAAAATGCAGAATTCCTTTATCCTACATTTAATCGAATTACTCATTGAGTAAATGAGTATTGGTTTCTGGAAAAGTGCAATTGGTGTTTATGTGCCAAAATGAAGGGGTATTGTGCAATTATAGGGACTTAGGGCGACTGTAGTGGAGTAAACTTACAGGTTCTGGTAAGCTGTGTGGATTTCTGTGGGAGGATGTGTAACGTACTATCCTACATAACCATTCTAAAAGATTTGATTTACCTAAAATGTAATTTTTATTTGTTTTTGATACTTTTTGTATAAGTCTCTCTATGAGTAAAACAGCTGCTTGGATGCAAAAATTTCTGAGGAACCAGAAAATAAAGTATTATTGTATCATTTGTCAATATAAAATTATGTGCAAACATTTACTGTATATATGCACTCATAATCACAATTAGCAATACAATAAGGAACTGTTTGTTAACTTATACTTATTTACATATCTAAATGTGAAAAAGTTCATCCTAGTGAGGATTTCTACTGAATGAACCTATTTAAAAATGAGAATCATACTTGTATTTGTACAACAAAACTATCTTTACATGAAAGAGGGAACCCTCTTGATCTATTCATCCTCCACCGGACTACAACACCTTTCTGACAGACACATGGCTGCCTGTCTGCACCAGCAGCCCCACATGGACAGCAGGTTATTCAAGGAGCAGCTTGAAGGGAGGCCAAAGATCAGACCGGAGTTATGCAGGACTCAGGGAGTAATACTGACACCTTGGCTCTTATGAGGAAGGGGCACAGAACCCCGGATGACAAAATAATTCACATGAATAAAAACAATAAAAACAAAAGGTGTTCATTTAAGCAGCTCTTGTAGTTTAGAATTACAGGATTTGTTATTAAAATAGTTTCGTGAGCGCCAAACAGAAAAAAAATAATTTAATTGAATTCAAAATTCTGGTCATAATACAACACAAATTGCAATTGTTCAGTGGGGGGCAGTGAACATTTCCTGAAGGCACTGTCTGCTTATTTTCTAAGACAATGTTATCTAGGCAAAATTGTATTCTTCAGTGCTCCCTGAAAATGTCAGAAACTAGTTTGACAATCACAATAACATTGAGTATTCTACAGTGACATGTAGCAACCTAAAAGCTACATTTGCATATCTTAATTCTGAAAATAATACATTTATAAAAAAATAGGTTATTCAATGCAGTTTAAAACACCTGTTTGATTAATTCCTTTATACATTGACTTACATGTTGCTTTTTACATTACAGTCATTTAAGTGATTTTTTCATGTTCATTGTCAATAGTTTTATTATTACTAACCTCAGAATATTTAAAAGAATGAATTTCATAATTGCTGCCAGTTGCATTGCTGGTTTTATTTTTATTTTTATGTATTGTGCAACATTGCACACCCTTGTAACCAATGAGCATTGCAATAACAGATGTGGATTCTCTACTTTAATACAATTCCTTAATGCTTTTTTAGACGTTTTCCACATCAAGAGACAGAAGGTAACAGATAAAGAAAAGAACTGCTGGTACTTTCACCTCCCCTTGAGCCCAAGAGGTTAAAGAATTGTACGCCACAATAAATGCAAACTGGGGCACTTCATTTAAATTTAGATCTACTGTATGTTTCTTGTATTTTACTGATTCAGTATCTGAGGTCTATCATTACAGTTGTTGCTGGGTTTCAAGATGTGCTCCACATTTATCCCCTGGGTTCCAAGAGGCAGGGGCAGATTTGAATTTACGACCTCACAACCATTCCATTCTGTGGGGGTATCTGGGTCACAATTATCCCCCGTTTTACTGACATTTTTTTCAGGAAACTCAAGTTGTGTAATTATTGAAAAGACTATACAAGAGAATTAATATTTGTTGTGGAACCAAATTCTCACCTATTGTAATCTGTTTCTCTTTCTATATATGGAAATATATTTATTTATATATGTATGATATATAATGTATATTCTATATATACAGTATATACACTGTATATTCTATATATATCTATATTTACATTTTGTAATGTAATAAATTGAAGAATTTGTACTTTTTATAATACAATATTAAATATTATCCAATTTGATTCAATTGAGTTCAACAGTACCACTAAATAATCAGGCACTATCCTAACAGTTTCTTTCTGTTGCTAGCAATTGTTTCTAACTTCACACTGCTGAATTAAGTGACAATAAATTATTGCGCAGATTTGCAACCTTAGTCCATGACGGCCAAAGCCAGCAGGTATAATTCAATTAGAAAATCACTTATTGTCCAAATACTTAATTTACTTAGATAACAAAGGGTCAGTGATGGAATTAAAATATGGAGGACAATTTGACCTTTCAGGACTGGAGTTGCTCGTACCTGTGACAGATTACATTTTCATGAATACATGCATTCTGACACAAAAGGGCAAATGCACACATCTCAGTAGTTATATTCACATTTCTTTGCACAGATTTCAGATGGATAATGCTTTTTTTTGCTAACATAAAGCATAAATGTGCTCACCTCAGGGCGTTTCAGTTCCTCGATTACATAATTCAGATTGTTCCACCCATCATAGGACCACAGACCTTGATAAAAAGCCTTTCCTATGGGGTTCATACCAACTATTGTGCCTTCAAATGCCTTGTGGAAGCTGTCTGTGTGTCCTCTAAAGAGCAGCAGCACTCCTCCGATCACGATCACCAACAGGGCCAGCACCTTGGCCACTGTGAAGATGACTTGGATGGACATTGAGAACCGAACATTGAGGCAGTTCACAATTGCTAGTGTCAGTATACAGGCAGCAGCCACACTCTTGACCACCAGCTGAGGTGGGTAGCAGCCCTGATAAAAGGGGGCCACAGCGTACTCTGCAAAGCTCAGGGATATTCCTGTAATGCTGGCTGGCCTCACTGCAAACGTGGCGGTGAAGGCGAGAAGGAAGGCTGGCAGAGGCCCTGACGTCCGGAGAATATAGATGTACTCCCCTCCCGATTCCCGAATGACAGTCCCCAGCTCTGCATAGCAGAGAGACCCCAGCATAGCCAGGACACCACACGCTGCCCAGATCACCAAGCTTCCTCCTGGACTTCCGATATTGTACAGCACCCACTGGGGGGACATGAAAATTCCTGATCCGATCATCGTGCCCGCTATCAGGGACACGGCACTGACCAAACCCACCTCCCGTTTCAGGCTGAATGTCTGCACCTTCTCATTGATCCCTGAAGATGTGTAGGTTGATGTAGAACCTTCCATATCTTGCTTATTTCTGTTGGTATCCATATCTTTGTTTAATCTTCACAATTTAAAGGAATAGGAAACTTGTTTGCAAAGTAAACTAATGTAAGACCAATGTATATGAGGTCTGGAGTGACATACTTATAACAATTGGATCAGTTAATGATTACATTTGACTTGTTCACTGCATTTCACAAGAAGCTTGCTGTTAAGTTATTATTACCATTAACTATTCTTGTTTTCTCAGGGAATCATGCAGAACAGTGTTTTCATTATTTATTCTGGAGGCTAGAGCGTGTTTCATAGTTAACTAATGACTAAGAATAAGGCTACATTAAATAGTTGGTGGTTAGAACTATTTGTTCTACATCTAGTTGTTGTGATGGTAGTTACATTTTAAAAGCAGAATAGTAAGCTGGAAGTTAACAGGACTAATGTATGACTAAGATTAATGCAGTTACTGGAGTAATTTACAAAATAAACCAGATAAGATTTTGCTGTGTCCACATCTCCAGCCTCTTGTCTGCCTACACCTCCTCCCTCAACTCTCCCCCATCTCTCTATACTGTCTAGCTGGTGATAGTAATTATTGTTAAAATATATTTATATTTTAAGTGATAACTGGACCTGACTTTCATGCACACACCCTGCCTCCTTCTGTACAACAAATGAAAACTGTAGTACAAAAGCTAGCATTTCATGAAGCAGTGATCATGAATATTCAAAAGTTTATACCAAATCAAGGTGACCCAGAAAAACAACAAACAGTTATATTTGGTTTATGCATTGGTTTTGTGTAAGCAGTACAGTCAGGATTTGAACTGGCAACCTTCTAGCCACAGGCACAGATCCTTAGCCACAGAGCCACTGCTCTGCCCCCAGTATGGTTGTTGGCCAAAATATTGTAATGCATACGGCCACCATTGCAGGTTCGAGTCGGCTTTCCAGCACGGTGACGTCACCGCCCTTCTCTGTGAATAGCAGGGACCGCAGCTGTTGGGCTGAGGGGAGATTTCCCTTTAGCTCAACTGGCTGGGTCCCTGTTGAGTGATGCTGGAGGCCCGGATTCGAGTCCCCATCGATGGGGGGGCCAACCTGAGGTGGCAGAGGCGAGGGCGCATACCCACGTGAACCCGAGAGCGCTACATTGGTGTCAGAGTGGGATGAAATAGCTCTTTGCCGAGGACAGCAAATTAAGCGGGGGAGAGTGTAACACATACAGTCACCATTGCAGGTTGTTCCAGCCGGCTTATCAGCGCAGTTACGTCACCGCCCTTCCCTGTGAATAGCAGGGACTGCAGCCATCGGGGTTACGGGAGATTTCCCTGTTGAGTGATGCCTGAGGCCCAGGTTTGAGTCCCCAGTGGAGGGGGGCCAACCTGAGGCGGCAGTGGGGAGGGCGCATACCCACGTGAACCCGAGAGCGCTACAATATAAATCTACAGTGTTAACCTGTAGTGTCATTGGAGATGAAGAGTAAAAACAAAGAGTTGAGTTGAAGTGATTTTCGTGAATTTTGTGACGGTACGACACAGAGTTAGTCTAGTTACAGTGCCTTGCGAAAGTATTCGGCCCCTTTGAACTTTTCAACCTTTTGCCACATTTCAGGCTTCAAACATAAAGATATAAATTTTTTATTTTATGTGAAGAATCACCAACAAGTGGGACACAATTGTGAAGTGGAACGAAATCTATTGGATTTTTGAAACTTTTTTAACTAATTAAAAAATGAAAAGTGGGGCGTGCAAAATTATTCGGCCCCCTTGCGTTAATACTTTGTAGAGCCACCTTTTGCTGCGATTACAGCTGCAAGTCGCTTGGGGTATGTCTCTATCAGTTTTGCACATCGAGAGACTGAAATTCTTGCCCATTCTTCCTTGCAAAACAGCTCGAGCTCAGTGAGGTTGGATGGAGAGCGTTTGTGAACAGCAGTTTTCAGCTCTTTCCACAGATTCTCGATTGGATTCAGGCCTGGACTTTGACTTGGCCATTCAAACACCTGGATACGTTTATTTGTGAACCATTCCTTTGTAGATTTTGCTGTATGTTTGGGATCATTGTCTTGTGGGAAGATAAATCTCCGTCCCAGTTTCAGGTCTTTTGCAGACTCCAACAGGTTTTCATCCAGAATGGTCCTGTATTTGGCTGCATCCATCTTCCCCTCAATTTTAACCATCTTCCCTGTCCCTGCTGAAGAAAAGCAGGCCCAAACCATGATGCTGCCACCACCATGTTTGACAGTGGGGATGGTGTGTTGAGGGTGATGAGCTGTGTTGCTTTTACGCCAAACATATCGTTTTGCATTGTGGCCAAAAAGTTCGATTTTGGTTTCATCTGACCAGAGCACCTTCTTCCACATGTTTGGGGTGTCTCCCAGGTGGCTTGTGGCAAACTTTAGATGAGACTTTTTATGGATATCTTTGAGAAATGGCTTTCTTCTTGCCACTCTTCCATAAAGGCCAGATTTGTGCAGTGTAAGACTGATTGTTGTCCTATGGACAGACTCTACCACCTCAGCTGTAGTTCTCTGCAGTTCATCCAGAGTGATCATGGGCCTCTTGGCTGCATCTCTGATCAGTCTTCTCCTTGTCTGAGCTGAAAGTTTAGAGGGACGGCCAGGTCTTGGTAGATTTGCAGTGGTCTGATACTCCTTCCATTTCAAGATGATCGCTTGCACAGTGCTCCTTGGGATGTTTGAAGCTTGGGAAATCTTTTTGTATCCAAATCCGGCTTTAAACTTCTCCACAACAGTATTACGGACCTGCCTGGTGTGTTCCTTGGTCTTCATGATGCTCTCTGCGCTTTCAACAGAACCTTGAGACTATCACAGAGCAGGTGCATTTATACAGAGACTTGATTACACACAGGTGGATTCTATTTATCACCATCAGTCATTTAGGACAACATTGGATCATTCAGAGATCCTCGCTGAAGTTCTGGAGTGAGTTTGCTGCACTGAAAGTAAAGGGGCCGAATAATTTTGCACGCCCCACTTTTCATTTTTTTATTAGTTAAAAAAGTTTCAAAAATCCAATAGATTTCGTTCCACTTCACAATTTTGTCCCACTTGTTGGTGATTCTTCACATAAAATAAAAAATGTATATCTTTATGTTTGAAGCCTGAAATGTGGCAAAAGGTTGAAAAGTTCAAGGGGGCCGAATACTTTCGCAAGGCACTGTAAATAGCCCACTGCCTGGTGGCGTTAATGTGAATAATGATTAGTAAAGTGGAAATTGCAAGTGGGCAATACAGATTTAAGTAGTTTGAATTACTGAATAATTACTGAAGATGGAAATTGAAGAGCTCATGAGAACATCTAGAAAGTCTAATAAGTATTATACAGTATGTGCAGTGACTGGTAACTAATAAAGACAGAGAGGGCAGAGTTAGTGAGAAGACCAGTGACTTGTGTGACCAAAAGCTAAACTTCTGCCTGTTGTAAATGCAGGTAAGCATTGGGGCTGTGTTTAAGAGACAATATAAAATTGTTTGAAGATCAAAAGCATGTTATATGAAGAAATAATCCAATGTTTGGGTTCTGATACAGTGTTATCCGAGATCTGTTACTCATTATTCTTGCCCTTTCTTTTGCTATTTTGTGTTTGTTACATATTTATTTCAGTAGCTTGTATTCAGCTGTAAATTATGTGGTTTAAACATATATACCGTAGTATGTAAAATGCATTTGAAGGTAAGTAGGTGTAGTAAAGAAAAGATGTAATATTTTGTAAGACAAATTATACAGTATTATTGTCAATAATTATTTTTGAATCACAGAAGAATATAAAATTCAACTATTAAAGTAAAATTATTTTCCTGCTTATTGTAAAAGTTTTATTTGCCCCCTTTAAGCAAATTTGTAATGGAATCCTTACACGTTAAAGTTATTCTGAGGTTATACATTCTCCCAATGGCTTTGCAGCCCAGGTGTTAGATGTGTATTCCCAGCAGCTAAGAACTGTTTCAAAAACATAAATTAAAATAGACTGTTGGATGTTGAGTAACTCGTAATAGATCTTTGCAGTGCATAATATTCAATGTTTGAGTTAACATTGTCTGGATTAGTTTATAGTAAGTGAAAACTTGAAATGATACTTCCCATGAAAGACATTGATTTATTTTTCTAGGTTCATGGTAGATGCAAGCTCTACAGAAGAATGAATATGATTCCAACTCAAGCAAACGTCATTGCACAACTCCTGAGGAACATAAATGCTAGACACTCTAGTAGTTTGACAGTGGTACATACAAACCATAAGGATGAGTTCACTTTTGTTTCCTTAGTGCCTTGTCTAATAATTCACATTTCAAAATGACTGTTTCAAAACTTGACACAAATTTAATGATTTCTTAAGAAACAAAACAGTAAATAATTCTTTCAAAGCCTACAGTTTAACTAAGGTAGTAATATGGAAACCACCTGGTATCACATTATAAAGATTGAGCACATACTGCACTATGTAAATAAGTGAAAAGAAGAGAGCAGCAGAGTATGGGAGTGTGTTAACCATCTAAGAGTGCTGTTCCATAAGAGTCTTTAAAGAGCTATGCATTGGAAAAAAGAGGGGAGGAATTTCAAAAAGTTGATGGCAAATCCCAAGAGGCTGGCTGACTTTCAAACATCTCTAATACTAACAATAGTGAAAATTACCTAAAAATAAGAAGTTGTACTGTGTACTTCAGAAGGTGCCAATATAACCAGGCCTAATAGGTACTGAGTCAGCTGTAGCAGTGAATATTCACTTTGGGCCCATTCCTAGGTACAGTGGCAATTATTTGCATTCTGTGTTTGCAAAGGTGTACCCTGATGCTGTGACTCTAGTGTAGAAGGACAGAATAGGACCTACAGAGTGCATACTGGTGCAACTCAGCACAAATATATAGCAAAAACCACACAAATTAACCCTAGTTAACAAGGGCAGTGAAAGAATAATATCCTTTCCATCATGGATTCAGAAGATGCTTTCAGACATACGAGGGTTTAATTTCCCTTTGTAGCAGCCACCAAAGTTTAGAATTGCAGAAACAATCTTCTGAAAGTAACCGAAAGCACAACATATCAATATTTCAATTCTAATAATGTACAGTTTATTGCAATATATTATAATATCTACTGTAGATCAAAACTCATTTACAAATAGTAGATGTGTATAAACACTTTAAGAGGATTCAGACAAGAGGATCCATTCCTTAGGAAGCAGTAGGGAATGACCTGTCATCATCTGATCTATTGGAGGAAGACAATTGGTCAGGTGCCAATTAAAAAATCAGAAGTGGAGGCTTCCAAGTTTCATCAGCCTCTTCTCTTTTGTAAGAGAGTTGAGCCTCGGTGATGTGCTGCACCACAGGGAGAAGGGAGTGACCAATGGTGATTACACTGTGGAACTTGGAATCTAGACGTTCTGGAACTTATATAGCTTTTGAGGGGCTTTTGGGGTCTGTAACCAGCTAAGGTCCTGGCTACTGATAGAGAGGAACTTCCTCCAATAGAAAAAAGTATTTTAACTTTGATTCTTGGATTGTTGCCACCTACAAAAAGTAAGAAGTGAAGATCTCCAGGGAGCAATGACATTAGATCACAAAGTGAGTGAACACTGCATACACTCCGAAGTCTAATGTGAATTGTATGCCATTAAATAAATAATCTTGGCCACATTCAAGGTTCACAGTTGGCAGACTTTTCCTATGTGTAAATGAAAAAAAGCTTTTGTTCAACACATATTTATTCATTGATCTCAGGTAATTGTAGATGCATCAATATTATATGAATGTACAGTATCTCACTCATCATCATTCAATATAAATAAAACTGATAATTTTATGAATGAAGTAAAACGATTGTATATACACACCTTATGTAAAACAATCATTAGACAACCGTATAACATCAGACTACTCAACATGGGTACATTCAAAATACAGTAGGTGTAGAGAGAAGAGTCTGGACTTTTTAAGTTTCTCTGCACGTAAATATTGTTTTACAACAATGACATTACAATGAGTTATTTTTCTAGCAATTAAAGCATTTCTAGTATACACGAGCACTTCTTACCTTTTTTACACAAGGACAAAAACTCAGGCCATGCAGGATAAAAGAAAAAGTGTAAGCAGAGCTCATAGAGGAGCTTAAGTTTTATTTTATGGTTTTCCACAAACTCTATAAATGAAACAGAAAAGTTTTTAGCTTATGCCTGCATGTGTGTCTGTTTTGCAGTGTCCTGCCTATTTTAAAGATCTATGTTATGCCACCCCCTCCCCAGGGCGTACCATAAAACCATAACACATTTGTGTGAATCACACAAGCAACATGGCTAATTGTGAAAGAATGGATGGATCTGGCAATACAAAAACTACCCCTATGTAAAAAATAACAGACGATTCTTTCAGTAGCAATCAGTACCAATTCATGGTAAAAATCATTCACAAAAAGTTTTAAAATATGCTCATTCCATGCCAGACAAAAACCAATAAAACATAACCTGCACCTCCGCAGACAGGAGGAAATTGTACTGTGTGACAAAGACCAACATGAAAATAGAGAAAACATGCAAACCCCACCCAGATGGGTGCCTGAGACAAGAATTGTGAGCTCTCAAGAGCTGTGAGGTACTGTAGCAGCACGAACTGTCACAACACCACTCTGCCTGGGTAATTCATTCATTTTCTGGGTATTCATTGAACAAAGCAAGTAATCAAGAATTCAGATTAATCAGTAACAGAACACAATTCTGTGAGTGTATGCAGAGTTTTGTCTTTAAAACTTGTTAAAACCATCAGGCACAGAGACACTAATTTAACTAAGAGATTTTTTCACCCTGTAGATGAAGACTCACCTGTCTTAGAAGCTCAGGGTCCATTGGACCCCGCCCTGTAACATTTGCAGCAAGACTTAATCCATAAAAAAAGTTACAAAAAAGCACACAAGCACACAAAATAAGGTGTGATGTCTAACCCCCATCTTCATCTATTATACATTTTTGTCAGCTGGAGAAACTTCAAGGAAAAGCTGTAAAAACACTGTTGCTTTATTAAAAACCCCTGGGCAAAGCTTGAAGTGTATAAAAGGAATGTAGATGAAAATGCCACTGATAATGAAAAGGGTGACATACAGGTATTCAATCTGAGGGTTGTCAACAATTGGGGCCAAGACCAGTAGGACTGCAGCAATTAATACCATGATTGGAATGATAAATGGGACCTGCAATCAATGAGAAAACACATTAGAGACAAGTGTTACAGTACTTTATAGATAATAAACTCAGTACAAAGCTATTTGTACTGGTACATGTAATAAATAAAAGTGCATAGTGTTAATAGAATCCATTGTTCTCACAAGTGTTATCAATAAAAAACAACCATGAATGTTATTTACTATCACAGTAGCTAGCCACCTCTCATTTAAAATTCATGCTGAAAGAACAATTCACTCAACTGTTTTAAACAATGCATTGGGAACTTCTAGCTACATTTCTAGCTACATGATCAACAGCTTTTTATCCTCGGTGTTTTCTTACTGCCCTGCCCATTCCTCAATATGCACAAATATGAGAGACATGACTACATTTATGATCTGCTTTATTTCAGCCTGCCACACAGGAGCATTAAAGAATGAGAAGGACCAGTAACCCAAATATGTCTCTCATCTCTAGGTTAGGCACTTTTTTATTCAATTAGCATATTGCATTGGTATTCATAAGAATGTATGAGTTATACAAATTGGATGACAAGGTTGTTCATATTTAAATGCATTGTGTAACAAGTATATATTTTTTTTGTGTGCTCTGTGTCACGGTTTTTTTTATTTTTATATATTTTGTGTCGCTATTTTTTTTATGTGTTGTCTATCATGTGTGTATTTACGGTATTTATATGGTCTGTGAATCAAGGGTGGATATATAGGATATATGTATGTGCCTAAACAAGTTGTAATTTTTTGCGTGCTTTTGTGTAGTGGCAGAAAACCTATGTAATGTAATAACTATATAAATGATTTGTTAGAATTAGCTGGATCTAAAACAATGTGCTCTTTTTCAATGGCATTTTTTTTCCATGTACACAAGTTGGATGCTTTGTTAAGGTTTTCTAAGATTCATTTCAGAGATGGTGGGAAACAGTCTTTTTAATATAAAAAATGTAATGAGCTAGACATAGAAACAAATCATTATTACCAAGAGTATGTTGAGAGGCAAGACTTAGTATATCATATGTAGTAGATAATGACAAAACCCCCACTCAAACATGGGATAAGTTTAAATGTGCTGCCCTCTAGTGCTTTGTACCTCTGAAGGAAATAAATGATACATGAAAACATAATTATGGAATCAGACATACAGCTCCAGCTGAAGTATGTGTTATGCCCGACATCCCTCCCTAGAGGGTGCTCCACTACTCCTGTTATTGTTTCTGTGATTAAGCTACCCAGGTGTACCCCCTTAGGTGTATTATTTAAAGACTAGCTCCTCCAGTCCTCGGGGCTCATCATGAGGGTAAGGATGTCGCGAGGCCCGCCTTGCACCAGGAAACCCTATGTCCGTCTCCTGAGGGCATAGGCCTCATCCCTGACACCTCCCGCTTCCTGAGCCCTGGGTTTGGAGGATCATGCCCTGTCACCCTTGGACCTCCATGTTTTGCCTGTGTTCGTGTTTTCTCCCTTCCCGGGGATTTTAACCTTGTCGTGTCCCAGGATGAATAACTTGTTGATGGACTCCCAGACTGTGCCCTGACCTGCCTTAGGACCTGTTTGGATTTGGATGCCATTCTTTGTCTTCCCCGTTCACTGTCTCACAGACTGTCACTATTGTTCTGTGCACTATTAAACCCCTGTGTTCCCTTTTACCACGCCTCCTGTTTTATCCAGCTCTTACCGCATCGCATATGGTCTACTACAAGACCTGACATGGATTTCAGTCCGTGTGCTTTACAGTATGTTAATAATAATAATAATAATAATTGCTTACACTTATATAGCGCTTTTCTGGACACTCCACTCAAAGCGCTTTACAGGTAATGGGGACTCCCCTCCACCACCACCAATGTGCAGCATCCACCTGGATGATGCGACGGCAGCCATAGTGCACCAGAACGCTCACCACACATCAGCTATCAGTGGGGAGGAGAGCAGAGTAATGAAGCCAATTATTAGGAGGCCATGATTGGTAAGGGTCAATGGGTAATTTGGCCAGGACACCAGGGTTACTCTTTTTGAGAAACACCCTGGGATTTTTAATGACCACAGAGAGTCAGGACCTCGGTTTTACGTCTCATCCGAAGGACGGCACCTGTTTACAGTATAGTGTCCCCGTCACTATACTGGGGCATTAGGACCCACACAGACCGCAGGATGACTGCCCCCCTGCTGGCCCCACTAACACCGCTTCCACCAGCAACCTATGTTTTTCCCAGGAGGTCTCCCATCCAGGTACTGACCAGGCTCACACCTGCTTAGCTTCAGTGAGTTGCCAGTTGTGAGTTGCAGGGTGATATGGCTGCTGGCAATCAGATATTTACCTTATGTACTGTTTTGTCAGTTTTGCAGCAAAATGTACAAATAATTGTATGTTCTTATGTGCCAACATACAATTTGCTCAACAGCAAAAATGTTGTGTTTCTTCTTTTTACTTTTCAGCATGAAATTAACCTTGACTTTTTCAATAGATATTAAATGTCACATTTGAGCATATAGTAGCAAGCTGATCACAGTGGAACTATCAATGGCATTTTCTACTGCATTTGTGCCATATCCTGGTTTCTATGCCATTAAGTAATTGAGAGATCATGTGACTCCATTCCCTGGATGGGATGCTAGTCCATCACAGGGTTACACCCAGCAATACGGATTCCCATTTATATACTTTGGTGGACTGGAGCAATCGAGGTCAAGTACCTTACTAAGATACAAAACCAGTGCCTTCAGCAGGAACATGAAACAACAACACACCACAGATGAGACCAGAGACTTACCCTCTACAAAACACTGCCTCATATGTAAGTAGAGTAACACATACATAAAAGTCTCTAGCAAAAATGAGCATAGCTGTTCCTTTACGAAAGGAACATGGTAGAAACTATGGAGTCTCACCTTGTAAGGTCTGTGAAGATGTGGCTTCCTAATCTTTAGATAAAGAAGGCCAGACAGTGTTATCCCATAGAAGAACCATGCAGTGAAGCTGTAATTGAGATCACAGGAAATAGCCTACACTTGGTAAATGTGATAACATAATTACACAGTCATATCCAAAGTAACACAGCATAAAAGAACACCTATAAGGAACAGAATAACTAGAAAAATAACCTTAACTTCCAAAGCAAAAAAACAAACTTGAAAGGAAAGAAAAGTTAATTGAAGTCACCAATTTCAATGTATTTTGTAAAGGAATGTTTATATACAATTTACACAATAAACCACAGCCTCAGTAAATGAAGGGTGTCTGTAAATGAATGGAAAGACATCAATTGGTCCTTTGAAGCTTATGTGGTCTTTCATGAGCCTGTGGGGTAATTAAGCAACAGATTCTAAAGTGTTGTGGCAAAGGGCATACAAAATAAAGAAAAAAGAATCTGTAACATGCAAATATTTCATTTATTTTGTCCAATTACTTCAGAGATGAAAAAACATTGAGTTAGTTTTAGTGGTTTAATTAATTTGTATGACTATTGATTCAAAATGGATAGTTTTTTACTGATCATAGACATATAGGCTTTTAACTTTCAAAACATCACATCATTACCTTCTTAACAAACATGCCACATGACCTTTGCAAAATATGAGTTGTAGTTTATGACTTACTCATGGTAAATTCTGCTACAACAGGGAGGGAATAATGATCTAGCTCAGGGGCTGGAAGACTTGAAAGAAAGGCTTGTGTGTTACATTTCAAAATAAACATCACCCACACGGTTTTATAATGGATTAAGATGATTCAGTTATTAACTGTTTCAAACGATTGCAGCAAAACATTATTGAACACTGAAAAACTCTTGGACAAGAGTAGCATTTACACCCAGGGTATATCCTATCTTGCACACATTACTTGCTGTGATAGGCTCCAGCTCCCCCTGTAATCTTGTTGGGTAAAGGTGAGTTTAACACTAAACTGCAGCACCCACCTTAGCTACCAGCCCCACTACACAGCAAAACAGAGAAGTAAGAAATTGCATCACTTGTTGTATTGTGGGGGAAATTTAGAGGCCAGATTGTTCCAACCGAAAGTCAATTTTAGCCAGGATTCCTGATCTTATAAACAGTGCCTTGTGGGCTTTAATGGCCAAGTAGTCAGGACCTTGGCTTAACATTTCATCTGAAGGATATCTTTCTTGAAGCAAATTGCCATTGTCTGAAGCAATGGATTTGAAATTCTGGTCCAGAAGGAAGTAAACCACCTACTAGTATACAGTAACAGGCTGTTTTGTTTTTTTTAGAGGTATCCCTACCGGGACTGAGCTTGCCCAACCTGGAATAGCTGCTAAGGTTTGAAGAGATTGGGCTACAAGGCGGGATAGCTGCAGCAAAATGTACTGTGGACTGTGTAAAATTGATTTGTGTCTCCTAGGATGATGCTCATACCTGAAGAAGTTAACGATAGTCTGAAAGTCTCCTGGTATCAGCACCAACAAAGATAATGTTGTGGTGAAAATCAGAGCAGGGGAAGGAGTCAGGCGTCGGGCGTGAGCCATCGCCAGGATGTCCGGCTGAGCAAAACCAAAGCAGAGCAGCTGAGTTACCATGGAGTGACAGAAAGCTCGAGCACATCATACCTACACACTGCTTTAGCTTTTATGGCAAATGTTTAGTAATGATTTTATTTATTATATTTTACAAAGTCATACCTTCCTTTTAAAGGCAATTTTTAAGTCTCAGAATATATTCATTGATCACTGAGTATCTGATGGTGTTTTTAGTATTATATTGTCATTAAGAACGTACACGACAAACATCAACCTTCTTTTGGTATTTCCTTTCCTTACCATATGTCCTTCTCTTGCTGCCACAAAGCACACTCGCCCTCCACTGAAGAAAGTCCCATTGAGAGACCCGAAAGCAGACAGTGCAGCAGCCACTGACATCAGCCAAGCCCAGCTGCCAAGCACTTTGGTCCTGTTAGTAAACACATAGTTACATTCTAATAAATATAATTGACATTCAACAGTGTACAATTCCCCCCTATTTTAATGTGCTTGTATACTCTGGTTGACTTCTGCTTTGAGGAATTATGTAGCTTTCAGGTTGTCTAAACAAGAATTTAGGCCAATACAAATTTAAAATATTTTATGTATCATTAATGTAATCAAAATGTATTCAAAAAGTTTTGCAGATCAACTATGGAAATAAGAACAAACATATTCCTCACTAATTATGCATAATCTCAAAACAGTTAGCCCATTTGTCAACAATACAAGCAAATTCCCTTATAACAGAACTTTTATTCTGAGAATTGGTTAATGGATAAATTTTATAGAATTAAGAAGTACTGTATATAACAGACCAAATTTTGCTTTGAAGGGACAAGCTTTGAAAATGCCCATTAAATTTGTACTGACAGTGTCTTGATGGAGATTCACCAATCGCAAAAAGTGCAATTTATGCACAAATTTCTCCAAAATGGATGAATTCATTTTTATAAAGATATCTTTAATAAGTTGTACAAGGCAAAGAAAGAACGTATCAAGATCATAATCCGCTCCGGCTCTTTCACATTTTAGTTGATTATGTGCACCTGCCTCCTATCCTGCCCCTCCTTATTTAAGTCAGATGCTCTCACTATTCTGGGCTCAGCATCGGGAGACGGACACCTGGAAGCTTGCCTACCAGCGGGTCCTGGAGTGACCCGACAGTATAGGCATCACCACAGCATCCTGACCATCTGGGTCCGGGGCTTGGAGCTCCTGGCCACATTAACCCGTTTTTATTCGCCGTCACTGCACCAGATCCCGTTCCGGTTTTTAACCTTATCTTGTTTTTGTCTTGGATGGATCACCCGGTTCTGGACTTTTGGACTTCTCCCTGGATTACCCTCTGGACTCCTCTGGACTTGTTTGCCATGGCCACACACCCCTGAGCACCAGTGCACAGTCATAACGCTCCCCTGTTTGTCAACCTGACCAGTTCCTCGTTGTCTCCACTTACTTCCAGATTATACCGTCTGCATAGGGCCCTGTACAAGGCATCGCTACAGAACATTATGAGGCACATATTTTTGATGTGATATAATCTTGTATTCTTTGATAATTGTGTGTTTTTCAGCTCTCAAATCACAGCTATGAACCTTGCGACTGCACACAGGGAAGAATAAGGAAGTGCAGGAAGACTAGTCCACTTTGAAGTCACATGTGTTTTATTACAGGCTAAACAGCTCCTTCCTAGAGGCAAGGTGTCAATTGAAGAGGTGTGTTTCTCAGATACAGCACCGAACACCTGCAAGTGCCAGAGAGGCTGCAGGGGTTTCTGTGTGGATGATAGTCAAGAGAGCTCCAGCTGACTAATGTCACTGTATCCCCAGTGGCACTCAACCATGCATGCAATCCTGGTCACAGTTGACAGTAACATAACCCAGTGTTGAACCCACAATCACAGAGTTCAATATGTGTACTTTTATGGCTTGAATTACTCTGGAGCCCCAGCATTTTGCCCACTATTAAATAAAAATAAAAAATTCAATCAAATGCATTTATGCACTTGGGCACCTAAGAAAATTTGGTTATACACATGTTAAATGCAGCTGTTTTATATGAATGATCACAATGTCCTGAACATTGACATGTTGTTTTTTAAGGTTTTGAAACACTTCATTTTATCTCACCCCCATGTGACAGCCACAGCATTGGAAGACATGAGTTCTCTGGGAGTCATGGCTGCCAGGTAGCTGACATTTACCAGCAGGTAGAGCGCTGTTACCATGGGGATAGCTATCATCAGTGCTCGTGGCAGATTCACCTGGAAGGAGATCAAAAAAGGGCTTGATAATGCAGGTCACGACACAGAATCCACTCTCCTGTCTACTCACCACTTACAAATTACTGACAAGGGACCTAATGATGGCTTCTTGTTCATCAGAGGTGTCTTTCATCTATTGAATAGAAAACCAACACAAAGTACTTGGTTTATAAGAACTTTAAAAAGGTAACATATGAGAGGACCTTTCAGTTACGATTCTGCCAATTGGTGCATCTTATTTATTTAATAATAATTATAATAATTGCTTACACTTATATAGCGCTTTTTCTGGACACTCCACTCAAAGCGCTTTACAGGTAATGGGGACTCCCCTCCACCACCACCAATGTGCAGCATCCACCTGGATGATGCGACGGCAGCCAGAGTGCGCCATAACGCTCACCATACATCAGCTATCAGTGGGGAGGAGAGCAGAGTAATGTAGCCAATTCATAGAGGGGGATTATTAGGAGGCCATGATTGGTAAGGGCCAATGGGAAATTTGGCCAGGACACTGGGGTTACACCCCTACTCTTTTCGAGAAACACCCTGGGATTTTTAATGACCACAGAGAGTCAGGAACTCGGTTTTACGTCTCATCCGAAGGACAGCACCTGTTTACAGTATAGTGTCCCCGTCATTATACTGGGGCATTAGGACCCACATGGACCGCAGGGTGAGCGCCCCCTGCTGGCCCCACTAACACCTCTTCCAGCAGCAACCTTAGTTTTTCCCAGGAGGTCTCCCATCCAGGTACTGACCAGGCTATTTGATTAATTTCAACCAGTATTGTCTTCAACAACATGGCTGGGTAGTGTGTTTCAGGCTCCTTGTTCTGTTGTCTTTACAGAACCCTTTGTGTAAAGATGTGTCCCCTTGTCCTTGGTTTTAAATGCATTACCACGTTCCCACCTGTGCCCTCTGGTTTGTGGTTCACAGTTCATCCTGAAATCTACAAGTAGTGTGTGGGCTGAAGTTTTCATATCAAGCCATAGGCTTGTTAATGACAATGTGTAACAACTAGAAAACATAGTTGGACCAGACACTGTAGTTCCTAGAATAAAATATATAACACAAGGATGGACAATCCTAGAGTTGCATGGCAGATATTTGGAAGACGTTTTTTCTCCCCGAGATCTTAGAAATTTGGTCAGAAACTTCTAGCCCTTTTCTTACCATCTACTAGACATGCAGCAAACTGTCGGCTGAAAGCTGGCTCTCTTCTTCTTCTTCACCTGTGTTGGTAGATCCATGGTTTTCACTACTAAAGCTTCTACCTGTACCTTTGCTTAGGTTTCTCTTTCAGCTTCCCAACCATGGGAAAACTTCCAACAAAACTTGACGCAAGACTTAGACGACAACTCCAAAGACTGGTATTTGAGAATCCCCCTTTAGGATCTCATGTGCATGAGGTTATCTGAAACCTGGAGAATCTCACCTTGGAGACACGGAAACACTCATCCCCTCCTACGCAGTCCTCAAGGACCCACCCCCTGATGACTCCAAGCTCCACATGCCTCTCAAGTGGCTTGTCCCTCTATCTACCTACAGTACCTGGTTTTCTGGCCACCAAGGACTCATATATGATCTCCTAGCACAGGATCCTCATGGCTTCTGCCTCAAGAGTTTGGGCACTGAGCATTCCAGCATCACCTGGTACAGCCACTTCACTGTGTGGGCTTCAATTGCAAGCCCAGAGGGGACTGGGTAGCAGGAAAGACTCATCTCCAATGTTTTAAGCTCCAGTTCTTTCCAAACACATGCCTGTATCCCCCAGGTATCCACATGGAGTTCCACAGCCGCCTATCCTTAGGTCGTATGAGGTATCAATATTAATCTCTATTTTATTATTGCTTTTATTCCTCATTTACAAATTTCAAAAGTTGGGAAAGGACAGTGTTTCAATCCTACTCATTTACATTGCATTTAAAACAATCACATGTTATGGATCCTACCTGCCTGGGCATTGTACACCACAATTCCACAAAATTGTTATTTTTCTTAAATAAATGTAAGTGCTTTAATTAAAAAATCTAAGCTTTGGGATTTATTAGGTATTGAGGAGTAGGTCAAGAAAGTGTGTTTCCGAAGCAAAGGTCATCCAGGACAGGGCAAATAAAGTTAAAAAAAATATTGTCTTTAGTATAGTTGTAATTAATAAAATTATTAATAAATAATTAATAATTAGCTAATAAGGACCTGAGCTAGATCGAACACCAGAAGAGAGTGGGACTCCCAGGAAACAGATCTACTGTATAAGAGATCTAGAACGGAGGGCATTTGTGAACCAGCTACTCTGCACTGTAATATCCGATTCTTCCAATTTTGCAGATGGGCATATTTGCTAGACACCTCACTAAGGCCACAGTTCCAAAACTAATACCCAAGTCTATGTAGGTTCCGCACCATCCAAATTAGCAGCACAGACAAGCAGTCTAATTACAAACATGGGAAGACTGCCTGTGGCCCACCCCCACGAAGCCATATAAAGCCTTAATTGATATATTGATCCTGCGAAGTACTAATTTAATAATTAAGAAGCCTGCTATAGCAAATTCCAGAATGCAGCAGATTTGATGGGACATAGGTTGATTTGCACCTTACCTACAGGATGGTCATTCATCTTTAAAGCAATCAAAGGCTTGTTTCAACAACCAGACAGTAAACATTCAGATTTGTAGAAAATTCACTGAATTCTGAAGTTTACAGAAATGTTTTATCAGCTAACACAGAAGAATGACCTATAAGTATAAAGTGCCATTTTACCAAAAAGTGGAGAATCTGGAGCTCTCCGGAGCTGGAGAGCTTCACAGTAATGGTGGATGTCTTCCCCATTTAGGTGTAAGCCATGGTCAGGGATTGGGGAGTAATACTTGATCTTCTTCTGTCTTTTTATCCCCACGTGAAAAATTTGAAATTTGAAATTCCACATTAGAAATATTGCCTGCATTAGGATGCTGAGTGCCCAATTAATGCACTTATAACATCAAGACTTGATTTCTGCAACTCTTTGCTCTATGGGCTCCCAAACAGTAAGTTGCAATATATCCAAAACTCTGCAGCGAGACTTCTAACTCACACCAGACCTTGGCAGCATATCACTCCTTCACTTAAGTCTCTACATCTGTTGCCTAGTAAGGCACAGATTTAATATACTGCAAGATCCCTATACTGACTTTTAATGCTTTAAAAGAGTCTGGCCAGCCCCATTACACATCTCTGAACTACTTTATGTTTCCAATCCCTTTTGAAGGCTCTGGTCAGTTGAGCCTGGTGCTTTGCTCAATGTATCTAGGAATAAATCTCAGACTTTCAAAAAAACGTGCCTCATCTGTTGCAGCGCCATAGTTATGGAATGCCCTTCCTCAGACTCTCGGAGAGACAAATTCTCTGACTTTCTTCAAATTTAAACCCAAGACTCATCTCTTTATTAGGGCCTATGTCTGATTTATCTACATTCCAGCTGTATGAACCTGTATGTTTTTGTTAATTTTTTTTATTGAACTTTTCTTTTCTTATCTTGTTTTTCTCCTTATCACTATGTACAGTGTCTTTGGGTTTGGAAAGTTACTTTATAAATGAAGCACCTTTCCAAACGTATAAATTAAATGTTTAAAAAAGGCTTTAACTTTGGAGAATTGAGTGATGGTAATAAGTACTCTCACAAAATAGTAATGATACCAAAAGAACATTATATTCACATACACATAAGTCAACAGAGTTATGTGATTTTAGGCAGAATCTTACTTTTTTTACAAACACGAAGTGTAAATGTGCTCACCTCGGGGCGTTTCAGTTCCTCAGTTGCATAATTCAAATTGTTCCACCCATCATAGGACCACAGACCTTGATAAAAGGCCACTCCTATGTTGTTTATGCCAACTATTGTGCCTTCAAATGCCTTGTGGAAGCTGTCTGTGTGTCCTCTAAAGAGCAGCAGCACTCCTCCGATCACGATCACCAACAGGGCCAGCACCTTGGCCACTGTGAAGATGACTTGGATGGACATTGAGAACCGAACATTGAGGCAGTTCACAATTGCTAGTGTCAGTATACAGGCAGCAGCCACACTCTTGACCACCAGCTGAGGTGGGTAGCAGCCCTGATAAAAGGGGGCCACAGCGTACTCTGCAAAGCTCAGGGATATTCCTGTAATGCTGGCTGGCCTCACTGCAAACGTGGCGGTGAAGGCGAGAAGGAAGGCTGGCAGAGGCCCTGACGTCCGGAGAATATAGATGTACTCCCCTCCCGATTCCCGAATGACAGTCCCCAGCTCTGCATAGCAGAGAGACCCCAGCATAGCCAGGACACCACACGCTGCCCAGATCACCAAGCTTCCTCCTGGACTTCCGATATTGTACAGCACCCACTGGGGGGACATGAAAATTCCTGATCCGATCATCGTGCCCGCTATCAGGGACACGGCACTGACCAAACCAACCTCCCGTTTCAGGCTGAATGTCTGCACCTTGTCATTGATCCCTGAAGATGTGTAAGATATAACAGAATTTTTCCTGCTCATTTTTCAAAATCTTGACCGTTTCAATCCAGCTGAGAGAGATCTCTGTTTTGAAGAAAATGAATTAGAGAGCAATGCTGCTCTGTCATGATGGGACAAAGTCACACTTACAGCAATTTATTCAGTTAATAATTACATTCCCAGGGTTAGAAAATGGGTTGAACTCCACTTGTGCAAAGTGTACTAAAAATATGGTACTAAAAATAAAAATGATGATAATGTATTCCAGAGGTGACCTTGCAGAAGGGATTGTTTTCAACAGTAATTTTGTGGTAAAGGAATTTTTTTAAAGTGAACTAATAACCCAGAATTAAGTTACACTGAACAGAGGTTGAGGTGTTTTGATTTATTCCTGCATCAGTCCTTCTGCTTGCTAATGGAATAACAAAGAAGTACACACAAAATTGCAAGATGATTGTGGTTAGTGAAGAACCTTCCAAAATCTGCCACTTAATAATTGACTACATTCATGGGCTAGACATAGCATACATACTTATGTCACACTCTTATCTGTTTATGCTATAATTCAATTCAAGGTCCCTGTTCCAACCTACATCTGCTTGCATTACAAGCCTCCCTTGCACATATAATTCTCTGTGTCTACTGATACCCTTGTCTGCCTTTTTTTTCCCACCTCTGCTGCCCAGCTGATGTTATCATTTGTTTTAACTCTCCATTATTGTGTTATCCTGCCCCACTCTGATAGAACCAGCTGCTAGCAAACCCAACTCCATCTCTGAACAGCTTCTGTGACTTATTCAACAACCACCTACTTAACCTGTATTTGTAACGCCTGCTAAAAACAGGAGGAAGCATTTTGGTCCATCTAGCTCATCTGGTTTTTAGTAGGTAACTGCTATGAAGATTTCATTTAGACATTTATTTAAAGGAGCTAGGGAACTCTCTTCAACAATGTATAGAGCCTTAAAAAATATTCAGACCCTTGAACACTTTTCACATTCTGTTGGTTTCAAGTTTGCAGTCATGGCACTTTGAAGTAGCAATGAACATTTATTATATACAAAACCTGATCTGTAAGTAAACACAAAGACCAAAAAAACAAACAAATAAAGAGATTAAGTGGTGAAATGTATTTACTGTACTTGTACAAAATTACCTCAACAATTAATTTAACATTTAGTTGAGTGACCTTTCTATGAGTGCATTAATAGTGGTTAACATAATTTAAGAATAAATACACGTCTCTTTAAGATTCCTCAGTCAGAAATGAGGAATGACAAGCTGCAGCATAACGTAATGCTGAGACCACCAGTAGGTATGTTACTGACTGGATGATGTGCTGTGTTGAGTCTGTGCCAGATGTAGCTATTTGATTTAGACCAGTCTTTTTTTTTATGTCTGGCTCAAAAAATGTTTGTTACATGTGTGCATTAACATTTAAGTGTTTTGTTGCATTTGTAAAAAAAAATGCAAAAAAATAGTTCAAGTAGGTAGCTGTGTCAGAATGCTTAGGCTGCAAAGGAACAACAAAAGGTTTATTCCATGCTGAAAAGAGAAGAAAAGTAACAAAACATTTTGGCTGTGGAGCCTTCTTTGGTTGTAAAAAATATAAAGCATGGATGACAAGCACTGCCACTCACGATCCAAAGAAAGCACACTTTATTTCTGAGAACAAAGTGAAAGACGATGTGCTCTACTGGAGCTTGCAACAGAAGAAGAAAAAAAGAACTGTAATACAGGGCACGTATTTCGCTCACCTAGATTCCCTCTGAATCCCTAAACCCAGGCGGGGTTCTCCTTTTTATTCCCCATTGGGGAGCTGAGAGGCTTCAAGGAGAGGGGCTTTCACACCAGCAGGAGTGGAGCCCCTTTGCCCTCACTGGACTGAGTCCAGAAATTTCCATCCAACCCCTGACCCCTCAACAGCACAAGTCTCCTCAGCAGCCACACACCCAGGGCTGTGATACCAGAGCAACGCAGCAGCGCTGCTCCCCTCTCCTGACACACAGACATCACTGCGTGTGGAGGGAACTCTTTACACAGTGTTTATGTGGTCAGTGTTAAATTCCATGTTGCAGATAACAACATTCGTTATGAAGGTCTTAAATGATATTTTGTATAACAAACTTGCATTTCTTTCTCCAGATACACAACGTGGATGTAATTATACACACATTGTAAAGAGATAAAGGCGAAGGTCAGACACGCTAGTTTTGCCCAGTAATTAAAATAAGTAAACATCTTGTCAGAGAGGTACACACATCAGTAATATAAAAAGTTATCTAAAAATACAAATATGATACTAGGGTTTAACTTTCAGCTCTTCTTCTAGTATTACCTTACTACATAAGAACATAATCCTTTCTCTAGAAGTTAATTTAACAAACTTAAATATACTGTCAATTGTTTTAACACACAAGCTTACATCTGAATAATTTACATTTACAGTTTTACTAGAACAGAAGTTCAGATGCCCAATCAGTACTCCACGCTGCGGGACTAAATATCACTAAACACAGAAAAAATGGGATGTCAAAAGGTTAACATCAGGAGCAGGGTTTAAACTGTCTCATTAATAGCATCTCCTGAAGTCAAACAAATTTGTAAATATTAAAAAAAATGTAAATATGTCTATATAAACCAGTTTAAATAATACTACATAAACTTAAAAAATACTTAAACCTTACAAAATACCATTTTTCATCAATTAAGCAATTTACACTGTTTCAAATTACGTTAGAAAAATGATTTCCCTCCATCTCTACGTAAACCGTTAATAAACCTGGATTTTGCTGACCTCAAATAAGTGCGACAAGACAGACAACCACGTGATTTCCTGAATTCTATTTATATTGCCAAATGTCTGCTTCCTTGATGCTGTTAACTAGCGATAAGCCGCAGTTTCTCTAGAGACAGCAAGGGTGATGAGAACGTACCTAAACGAATGTTCTCCTACGTGGGGCGCAAATCTCTAAATAATGCTAAAAACGAAACAAACCCGAAACTCGGTAACCCCCCCGGCTTGTGCCGCCGTGCTGTAGCGGCTCCCATCGCGCAGGTCTGTGGCGGAGCCGCTGCAGCTCCTCCCTCTGCCTCTGTCGCCATGTTGTCGGTGCTCCTCTAGCCCAAGCTCAGTTCGAGAGGGGAGGGGGGAGAGGGCGACACTTCCACTGAACGTACCACGTACAAACCAAAACCATTAAAACACCGACATCCACCAAAAAACAAAACAAAGTCTGTATATAATAATAATCCATCGCCATCCAGCAGCACGGCCTGTGAGTATCCCGTCCATCCCCAGGTTTGGATCAAATGCACACCTTGAGGGACTCCATTCCGGGATTATTGCCAGGGACCGAGTGTTTAGAACATGTTTTATTATTATTATGATATTTCCTTTTGTTTAGCGGGTAAGGCTCTCTGTTTAGAGCAAGGAGGGGGGCCATGTTAGTGTAGTAACCCAGCAGCAATGGCTGGCGCAGGTCTTCTCGCCGAGTTTGTGTTTCTGTTCGAGCTTTTCCGCGGATTGTTTTAAAAGAAGCTGGAAGCTTCTGTTTTGGTTTATAGCTTTCTTAAGCGACATACTGGGGACGGTGGGCAGCTGTATTATTCTGTAAATGCTTTTTGGGTGCTTTTGTCCTGCTTTCCTTTTAAATAATATTGAAGGTAAGAGGCCTCAGCTGTTTGTAAATACTGCTCTTGATGCTTTTTATTATGCTTTATGCTTTCGTTAGACGTTTACCAGCGCGTGTTTATGTTTACGAGGATATTATTTTTTGGATCTCCACTTTTAAGTAAACATAGAATAATGTTTTTGAAGTCATAGTGCTGACACCTCGAGAGTTTTCTTTTTGTCTACTTTGGTAGTGATGGATTTCCTTTTATGTGCCATCCTGTGTTATTTATTGTTTGAAAACAATTTGAACTCACTTCACCGTCGTGAGCTGGAGTAAAACTGTCCTGGTACAGGAGAGGTTCGGTTCTGCTTGGCTTCTTTCCCGGTCTCTATTTCCAAGAAGTTCACTTGTTTACCAACAACTGGGTCATTTTCTTTCCGTGCAACTAAAAATATCCCTATGCATAAAGATTTTTATATTTTGTGCTTCCCCATAGGTGTAAAGACCCGTGTGATAATACAGACGTGTGTGCGAAGAGTTAATTTTAATAGCTCTTGCTTTCTTTTTTCTCGATGTAGTTAAATGATCCTGGCTGTCTTACACTTAGCCTGTCTTTACGGTAACTAGGCCTCATTCCTTGTTTATGCTTTGTCTTCTCAAAAGCTTCTCGCAGACAGTGGTGGTTCTGTTAATACAGCTTCTGCAGGCGACCGGTTAATAATACCACTGATACATGTAGGACAATACTACCATTAGGAACACAGATCAGATTTTGAAACATAAAGCTAATGATGTTGGCTGTTCTAGATTGTATTCATTGCTAATATAAATCCGTGTGCATATAAATGTCTTTGTGGGCTACATGTTATTATTGGCCTAAACCATATGCAGCAAGGGTGTTAAAGACTGTTCTTTCACATTTGTCTGAAAAGTTGTTGCTGTTTACAGTGCAAACTTGCTAACCTGCCATGTATAAAATATGTATTTTACTGTTTCAAAGATGTTACTTTTTTTATGACCAACCTCACAGTGATGGAACTGTGGCAAATACAGCCCGTCTACTCAGTAGGCTGAAAAGGTCATGGTTTTGAGGCACTGTTGTAGAAGGAGTGGGGGGATGGGCAGTTAAAAAAAAGAATAGTCAGTGCTATTTTATGAAAAAAGCATCTCACTTTATGTGATGGTATTCAGTTTTTCTCCGTGTATTACACAAGGCAGGGCACATTCGAGTGCCTGATGGATGTCATTGAAGGATATATTATTTGGTAATCACTGAGCAGTGTTTTTAGACATTTTGCAGTGATGTATCAAGTGTGTAAATGTGGAAGTCACGTTGTTAAACAGCGAAACTGAAATATCTAAATTAAATTGGAAGTCTAGTTATGTGACACTGCATGCCATTTTTAACTGAAGTGCATTGCAACAGTGTTGTGATTCACATGCAGTGGATTCAGTTACAGTACACATAGTCTAAGTGCATTAAATATTCTACCAATGGCAAGAGCATGTCAGATCATAAATTTAAAGAATCGGTTCTCAGGTTAGTTTAGTTTTTTTATAATCCTTCTTGTTTTTTTCCATCTTTACTGATTGAGTTATATACAACAGGCTGACAGCTCTAGGATGACAGAGGTTATGCCCAACAGATAGTGAAAGTCCTTGTAGTTTTTGTGTGGTGTTTGTACTGAAGGGACTCTTAAGCATCTCGAGAGAGAAAAGAGTGCTGCTTACTCTTTAAAGAAGTTTGGAAATGCTTAAAAAAACTATCTTTTTTTTTGTTTAGAAACACAAAGCCCAAGGTGCCTGGAAATGCAAATAGTAAATAAAATAAACATAATTATTTAACAATATATTATCCATAAACCATCGTATGATAAAACAAATGTTCATGTTTCAAAGTGGATGTTTTGCCACAAATGATTATGTTCTTTGGGATATTATATAGCTTTTTCATTAAAATGAACAAATAGTCCTCCTGTTGATGCATGTATATATACACACCACATTAAAAAGCTATTGAGAAGTCCATCATAAAACTTTAATATTTGTTTACCAGCCATGCTTTTTGCTTATTTGTTAATTTCTGATTTCTCTGTTACTTTGTTCTTGATCTTTGAATGGTTAAACATTTAAACTAGAGAAGGTGTGTTTAAATTGCCCAATCCGCTGTATTCTTGAGCTGTGTTACTCTGAAGATGGTGTGCACAGCACCTTAACTCTTTCTCCTGTCTATGTGCACAGCATATAATAAATTGAAATTTTTTTCTTGAGGGTAAAGTAACTGTAGGCCTATATTTTTATCAAAATAAAACAAGAGTTTGGAAGATTGCAATTTTCTATTTTTTTCTTGTCAGATATGATTTTCTATTTTGTTAGAGTCACAATTTCATAGTTTTATGATCGTAGAACTCAGATCTCCTTTCTCTATGAATATGTTTTGCAGGGGACTGTGAAACAACTTTTTACTAGTAGAAGGCAACATATCTCTTGTGAAGCTCATGGTTATATTTATTAAACTGGATACACCATGTCTCCAAATTTCCATTTAGGATGCATTTATATGTTATTCAGTTTAAGTGTTCCCATAAACTAAATGCTATTATAGAATGTATCCCCATAAAAATAAAAACACCCCCATACATCGGAAAGTGTCTCACTAAACATCTGGCATGAATTTTTATTTGTCAGAATTTATGGAATTTAGACTGGAAAAACAAGTTATTCAAATGATAGTACTAGAGTGGTTGGTATTAGAAAATGACACAGAATACCTGAATTTTAGAAAGTACTTTGAGCCTATCAGACAACATTGTACACAGCTTGTAGTGTATTGTAGACATGGGAATTATTTGTACTTCCAAGCACCCTTAAGGTCAAGTTACATCAGGGAAAAAAATGACATCACTTACAGTGGCTTGTGTAAAAATATATTTCCTCAGGTTGTGAACACAAGCTGAGATACCAGAAGTTTGCTTTTGGTATTATTTTCGTGAAGGAATCGCTATAATGACTGATCATGCAAATTATTGCCTGTAATCTGTAATAAAAAAATACAAGGTACGCAGGTTGAAAACTTTGCGGTAGGCTTTCTAATTATAAGATTTCTGGATGAATGTCCCTGTATTATTTTGCATTAAATGTAATGTCACTTAAGTGGAATTTCCTGACATTTTTGGGAATTTGTGGACAGAGACCCTTGTTATTATATATTGCTGTTTAGATTTAAATTTTGAGGACATTTTCTTGGCAGATACACTTAACACGACATTTGCCTGTATTAGACATTTATATGCATTCGTTAAAACATTATTGTGAGAGGTTTCTCAGCTGCGTGTGATGTGTAACTGTGTCATGCCGGTGTTTATTTCCACACTCGTCCCCTTTGTGAAAGACCCCTCTTGCACTTGTATTTTTAGTTTGCTCCAGAGCTACATTGGGGCCACAGCGTCTCAAGTTTGAACACTGACAGAACAGCTTTTTGATGTGGCCCAGGGTTGGCCTAATATATATGTCGAACATACAAACTAGCCCCAGGCTGCCTTTTTGTATCACATTACCAGTGTGAACATGTAGGTAAGTAGCTCCCTCAACCTGCAAGCAAACAAAACATGGAATCAAAAACACTATGAGCTGACAAGTTAAGCGCGTCTGTTTTAACATGAACAATACAGTCATTTGATACTTGACTTCAGCAGTAGTTGTAATTTGGGGATTATGTAAAGACTTCTTTTAAGCATTGAGTAATTTTGATTGCGAAAAGCGTACTTAATGCTATTAGAATTCAATTTAAAACTCGCTTTTGCTTATCGATAAGTGAAAAGCATGCACTGGAATGGATGATTAGGAACTTAAGAAGATGGAAAAACAGAGGTTGAAAACTGCTTGAACCTGATTTGTTTTTAAAATAAAAGCATTCCTTTTATTAAAAATTGCTTGGAAGTTTTCATGTGAGCCCTTCAGTTGTACAAACCTATCCACCTGTTCACTGACAAAACAAATTGCCAATAGAATATTGTGTCGATTGGCAGTAGATTTAGTGCAACAGTCTCAACAAGTTTCCCTGAAAATAAGTAATTTGCAGTATTTGTGATTAGTGGTTGTTAATAGTAGGATTGCATCAATGCACATTTGTATTACATTCCTCTGGTAATCTGGTCACACAGAAAGTAACTTTTTGCTTCATTTGTATTGAAGGTGGCTGCAACAGTTTACAGTTACTGACCAGTAATTGCACATATTTAATTAATATACATTGCTGCAGTGGTATTTGAAGCATATTGGTCCTTTTGGGGCCAGTACAAAATCCCTTTGAGCACAGGAGTTGTTACAGATGAGGAGTGATTAGTAACTAATTGATCCAAGTTTGTCTCCACTATTTATTGGAAGATGCCAGGTGTTTGGCTTAAACAACATTCCTGAGCATCTTGTTCCATTATCCTGCAAACTTTGTTATTTTAATGTATTGTTGCATTGTAGATCTATGTAATAATGTACATAGGACCTAATATCCCGTACACCACCAGAACTGCTCAAAGGAAACTTGGCAGAGATGTGATTTGTTCAAATGGTTATGTCAGCTTTTTTTGTTGATGATTCAGAACCAGGAATTGAAAACAGTGCCTTATCAAAAACAGCATCTGGTATTTAACAGAGTTTAATATGTGGTGTCATTTTTAAGTGATACTTGTTGGCATCAGGCATTTTAAAACAGAAATTCAGAAATTATAGTGATGGGTTTAAAGTAAAAGCGGGAAATAAACCACAGTCTGAAGCAAGAGCATGAAAGTCTTTATGTAGCATGAATACTACATGGATCACAGCACCAGCAGTGTTGCAAGGAGTGAAATATCCATCTAGCTCATGATCCTGTCACCCCTTCCAGTCATGGCAATTTACCAGTCAGCATTTCAAAGCACATTTTACATATTAGTGAGAGCAGTCTGCCGAATTTGGGCTGTTTTTCCACTCGTGACTTTAAACACACGAGGTCATATGTGTTTCGAGAGTGACTGGAAGGTTGAAAGAAATGCCACGACAAATGTGGTGCAGAAGAGGGCTGGCCTAAAAGGTAGAAAAGGGATCTATGCCACTCTTGCATTTACTAAAGAGGGTTATTCTGCCAGTTCCTGGCTACCTCTGGAGTGGCTGAACATAAGGATGATTCAGGAATGGCCAGTTTCATTGATGCTGCTAAGAAACGACATGTGCCAGCATAGAGCCATCCTACAAATGGTTCAGAACAGTGGAATACAATAATATGAGTCAACTCAAATATACGTTTAAAATAAAAAAAATTCCCCTTTTTTTTTTCTTATTTTTTTTTAATTATTGGTTTTTTTATTGTTCCGGGCTTTTTTTTTTTCTAATAAACACAATCAAATGAGAAAATAAGAAAGGTGAAAAAAGAGAGGAGGCCATTTAGCACATCTAGCCTGTTTGGTAGTTAATTGTTAGAAGGATCTCATCCACCTTTTTCTTGAAGGAAGCCAAAGTATCGGCTTCAACAGCATGATTGGGTAGCTTGGTCCATACTCCTACTGCCTTTTGTGTACAGAAAGGCCTCCTGTTCTCAGTTTTCACACATACTTCCATGTAATTCCTCAGGTTTTTGTTCCACTGTTAATTTTTGAAGAGGTCCTCTGGGCTGACTTTGTCGGTACATTTGAGAATTTTAAAACTTGTATCTAGGATATGTAGGAAGGTATAGTACCCTGAACACTTTAAATGAAAACACAAAGTTCAGTAAGTAGCCCTTTCCTCTGATTTAAAAAAGTATGATGCATAACCCTGTATTTCATCATCTTAAGGTATTCTGGTGAGAATTAAGATGTGAAATCTTTTAGTTTTGAATGAGGCGATTGTGTGTAGACTAATACGAGTTAGAGTACCAAGGGCTGAAGATCATCAGTGTTGCCTACAGCCTGACACAGGTGTTACAGCTTGCTGAGTGTCACATGGCGACATTCAGTCCTCTCACTGAGGGCAAAGGAGAAGATCCTCAATCTCTGTCTGCTTTTATCCGCAGGTTTCTCCGTGGAATGAGCATTCCATGCGTCCTCCTAGGCATGAATGAAGTGGCCTGGCAGGACACTCGGGGAGGAATGATGCATGCGAATGGTGCTCAGGAGGCCGGTGCAGTTGGGGTTGGGGTCCCTGTGCCAGGATCCTTACCTGGTGCTGGGGGTGGGCCGGGTCCAGGGGGTGCACCCCCTCTACAGGTTCTGGGCGGCGGCTCCACCCCGCACTCTCTTCCGCCGGCCGCTGTCGTAGGCGCCCCGGGGGTGCAGCCTCCTTTAAGTGGGCGCTCCCAGGACGATGCCACAGTGGGTTACTTCTTCCAGCGGCAACCAGGAGAGCAGCTCGGGGGTTACACCAGCAAGCACCGCTGGCCCACGGGGGACAGTATTCACATAGACCAGGTAGGTTGGATTTGTGGGAAGGGTTTGCCCCCCACCCCCCCTTTCACTGTAACCAGGGCATCTGCTTGTGGCTTGGCATATGGGAGGCAGGCGAGTCTGATGTACGTTTTAAATAACTCCTTAAATGTCTTTTTGAAATGAAAAATCTAAATTTAGCTTTTTACTGTTTTTAAAAACATTTTCCTGGGGTAGAAATAAGCTGCACAAGGAAGTCAGTAGAATAGTGACAGAAGCAGATTTCAGTGATTCTGCTGATGTGCTATCCTTCCAAATAATATGCCATATGCAGCTCCACTTATGGGTGCAAGTCTTCGTCAAAGTGTGTGAAAAGTAGAGCACATGAGATAGCTAAAAATGTTTCCAGCAAACTGTTTGTTCTTTTGCTTTAATGTGGTAGCAAATGAAAGACTTCAGTTCTTACAAACGTAAGCAAAGAACACATCGTTTTCCTCTCTTTGTTCATGTCTTTTCTGTATTAAAATTTAAGCAACTTAGAGAGTAAACCTTCTAAAAGGTACTTGCTTTGTAATCTGAATATGGGTGGCGATTCATAATCACATAAAAAATGTTTTTTATCCAAACCACACAAATGCAGAGAAGAAAGTGAAATAGCATTGTAATTTAGTTATTTTTTATTAGGTGCATCCTATGACTCATTTACTGGAACAAAATAAAATACTGTAGCTAATACCATGAAGTGCCGGCTCTAACATTCTTAATGTATGAAACATTGTGCTGCACAGTCTATCCCTATGAGGTTATATGAGATAAAGTATCACAGTAAGTTTGTAAAAGTAATAAAAATGTTTTATGTCTGCCCTCTGTCGGACAGGTGTAGCTACTCCACTCTTCTCTTTAATATCGCTGCTGATATATCGAGGTTAAACTGAACCATTTTGTGACTATTGTTATAATGGTAGAGGCTTTACTTAAAGGAGGTTTTGTAAGCTGTAGTTAGAGCCTGCTTACTCTAGTGATGACTTTCATGCTGGGCAGCATGGTGGCGCTGTGAAAAGTATTGCTGCCTCACAGTGGGAGGGCCCTGGGTTCAGTTCCTGGGGTGGTATCTGTGTGGAGTTTGTATGTTCTCCCTGTGTTCATTTGGGTTTCCTCCCACAGTACAAAGAAATTCTGGTAGGTTAAGTTTTGTAAAAATTGGCCCTGGTGTAAGTGTGTCTGGACTAGTGTCCTCTCCAGGGCGTATGATGCCTTGTGCCCTTTGCTTGCTGGGACAGGTGACCCCAAATTGGGCAAACTGGCTAAAACGTAGGCAGTAGATGAATAATTGTATGTCATGGAGACATTCATAATTTTGCATTGCACAGTCCATCAGTTATGAGTGAGCTGCTTCTTCTGGTGAGGATTGTTTCAACCCAAGCCTAACATTGCAAAGTGTACTCTTTAAAAATGTAAATAATATTGCAATGAATAAAATGAACTGTATTAGATATGATCTGTATGCTGGCATGACGTATTGATCTTCAGCAGTAAAATCGTGTAGTAAATAACTTTTTGGCACGAGTTAAGAGCAGTACAACTGTTTAATGTTGACGTGACCAGGCAGCTGCAAAGCAACGTGTTTCTCTTTATGTAAGAAGTTTTTTTTATAATGGCACTAGCAGACAAGGCCCTGTGATGTTAGATTAAATTAACTGCTGGTGTGGCCTTCTGGCTGTTTGTGGGGGCTGTCTGTCTGGCGTTTGCATGTTCTCTGTATAATCACATGGGTTCTCCCCCAGGTCTTTTGGTGTCTTTCCACTTCCCAAGGGCTAGCAGTTTTATTTTTATTCGGGTGCTGTAAATTGTCCATCTTCAAGGTGGGTTTCAAGGGGTTTCCTACTGTAGGTTTGATCACTGTGAAACCAAATTGGTACTAGTGAAACAGAACCAAATGAGCACAGTGGGCCAAACGACTCTTCTGATCTGTGGATCTTAATGCATCATTTGTTATCCAGCCCCACTTCTTCTAAAATGCAGTGTATTTTTTGTAGTTTTTACCTCATCCTTGCAAATACATTTTTGACAGTGTTATAAAATTGCCATTTAAAGTTTTAGTGGCATTTTTGTAGTAAGAGGGATGGTTTGTAAAATGGAATTGTATTAATTTTATTGCTAGTTTTTAATTCATTTGATGAGATTTCTCTATGGGAAGTTATTTTGATATAAAATAATTATAATGCTTCACACATCTGGCCAAAAAAAAAATAAGAGTACAGTACTATTACATTCAAAATTGCATTCTTAGATTTAAAGTAAAAAATTATAAAAAAATTGTTTGTGAACAAAAATGATTTTTTTAAAGTATGCCAGTATTTTCTAGCTATTATATACTAAGGCAGTGGTTCTCAAACTTTTTGGACCAAGTACCACCCCTGATCAAACCAAAGAATCCAAGTACCACCTACAAGTCATCTTCTCATAGGAACCCCAGAAAAACTCATTGACCAACATGATCGCGCACACACTCACACATATAATAAATATTATTACAATAAACTTTATTTGATATAGCACCTTTAAAGGTTGCTTCTCAAAGCGCTTTACAGAAAAAAAAACAGAAACAACAACAATTAAAAATAATAAAAAAGCACAATATCAGCGAAAGGGGTGGGCCTGTTTAGACGAGCAAAGCAGATGTGAATTTATTGGTCAAGCCTTTATGCAATTCACTACAGAGTCTAACAGATTTTCAATTGTCAGGCATTTTCTTGATGGCAAAGGTCTCGCGATGAATGTTGCAATGCGTCCATTCAGTTCTGCAGCAACCTCTCTAATTCGTGCACCTACACCGCTGTGTCGGCTTGTCATTGTTCTAGCACCATCTGTACAAACTCCGACACATTTTATCCAGTCGATGCCATTCTCTTTGATAAATTCATTCAGAAGCTGAAATATGTGCTCTCCTGTAGTTCCTGTTGGTAGCGGCTTACGGAACAGAAAGTCCTCATGGGACGTACCCTCAAACTGGTATCGAATGTAAACGAGCAAATTGGCCAAATTGACGACATCTACAGACTCATCTAATTGCAGTGAAAAGCATCTGCTCATCTTAACGCGCTCTACCAGCGTACTTTTGATATCATCCGCCATATCAATAATTCTACGAGTGACTGTGTCTTTCGGAGGGGGCAGCAGGTCGAGCTGTTTAGCAGCTTTTTCTCCACACAATATATGTCAGCTCTTTTGCCAATGGTAAATAAGGTTCTTCAAAAATAGTGTGGGGATGACCTGCTTTAGCAATCCGCTAGCTTTCATTTTCCCCCTTTTCCATTTCATGAGTCTGTCTCAGAAGTTAAAAGAAGTTTTTATTTCATGTGCATGGGAGCGAAACACAGAGAAGCTTGGTGTATTTTTCTCAAATTAACCTAGAACAGTTCTTAAATATTTTTATTTATCACGCTTTCCTGTGCTAACAAGATTGGCAGCGTTCGTAGCACTCAATTCTATGCATTCCTATGCTTACAACATTGGCATTGTTCCAAAATCACGCACATTCTCCTACCTCCCTGTTTGCTGGAGATACCTTTTTTAAATACAATTGGTCACTTACGTTCGTAGCACACATTCCTATTCAATGGTATAGAATTACATAGTAGCTCTTGTGTCCACTCAAGTATTGGCGCGCGCTGTATCGTAGTACTTAGGCTGCGTATTCGACACGTATTGAAATAGAAAATGTGAAAACTCGTCCAGATTTTTCAGTGCACACAACAAAGTTCCAGGGTCATATGGCGTATTGCCTGGCGGCGCTCCACGTACCACAGTTTGAGAACCACTGTACTAAGGTAATTAATCTGAAGTCCACCGATATTGCATAAAGTCTATGAAAACCACTGAACAAGTGCTTAAACGAAAGTGCATGGAGGTATACAATCCTGTATAACCGAGAGCACTGCCAGAGCAGCATGTATATTTGATAACTCATTGCATTTACTGCCATGTTACATATAATCATAATTATTGCATTTTTGTGTTGCGTGTTTCATCCCAAAAAACAACCTGTTATACAATTCTCAGGTGTGCCTGGACAGTCAAAAAAAAGATATACTGATATTCACAATGTGGGCTCAACCTGTACTGTTTCTAATCCTATTCTCCAAGGATCTTTGCTGGAGAAGATCAAAATGTGAAATTTATATGCAGTTCAAGTCACTTAATATGACCGGACTTTCCCCATTTTTGGAAAATAATGATTGGTGTCTTCAACCCTTTGTCTTAAGCTCCCATTTCTAGCAGAAGGTGCAGTCTTTAAATTAACACCACACTTTTGCCTATAAACAGATAACTGGAATTCCAGAGGGTGCAAGGCAACACAGCAAAAAGCATAGACTGCTAGCTTTCTTTCACCTATATAATACTGTCTGTTACCAGGACAGTGTAAAAATATAGGGTCAGCATCCACAAGGTGAAGCATGGAAGAATTCCTAAGAAGTCAAAAGGTTTTCTGCATCCTCCATATTATGCAGAGAGGACTCCAGCAATCAAAGCCTCAATGACAGTAGTTGGAGAAGAAGTGTGTCATGTCCAATCATCCTTCTTTGGATCGAAGTTTTGTTTTGTCCAGATATATGTGGAAGCTGGTGTGCAATGGAGACTTGGAAGACTGAAGGGTGTGGCTTGCTGGCACTGGGGACTATAAACATATATTCAAATTCCCGCACTGTTGTTAAATCTAGGATTCTGTCTGTACTACAGGGGCAAACAATGTAATGGGTGAACTTTGTGCAGCACTGTATTGTAGCTGTTTGGTTTCTTTTCTCAGTCTGAATTATATATCCTTTTCTACCTATCCAATATAATGAAACTTTTCCCACTGGTTCTGATGATTAAAACCCCCTGTTCTCCAGCGAGATCACTACATGGAGCTTGTTGGGGATACAGTTATAAGAATGTGAGAACTCTTTCAATACTCCACCATTGGGTTCCCTGATCAAAAGGGCCACCACTTTTCATACTGCTTGCACAGTATCCTAGTTTTAATGCAAGGGCATGGTCCTTGC